CCCCGTGTCTGTCAGACCATCCACCCATTCAGGAGGGAAAATGATGACTCCAACACAAAATAACGAAAGACCATCCACTTATTCAGCCAACACACACACAAAAAAAAGAAAGAGCGACGTGGGTCGTTTCAGGAGGTAATGATGACTCCATCACAAAATAAAGAGCGTCATGGATGGTTGAGTGATCGGCCTTACCACGCAGTAGAGGGTAGAATTCACAAATTACCGCGGGCCCCACTATGGAACGTACGTTCTATGGAATGACTTTTATAAAATACAATACAATACAATATAAACAATGCATGTCTTATTCAGAAAAATAAAACAAAATAATAATTTGACATCATAATATAATATAAAAGTTATAAAGCAAAGCCCGAAAATGCTAGCCCGACAGATTGCAGCGAGATTGACCGCATAGACATGTGACCTGCCGCCAGCCCTCGGCGAAAACCCATCACACACAAGCGGATATTCTGCTGCAGGGAAATCAATACAACATTATTTTACCCACGCACGCATCTCTACAGACTAAGAACTACGAGGTGGGTCCACCACGCCCCTGGTCTTAGAATTGGGGACTGCTTAGAAGAATTGTTTTGAATTTTATTACCAAATTTTGAGTAAGATTTATTCTGTTGTTCAATTTCACATTCTCAACCTGAAAGGAAGTTTGGAGAGTGCAAAAAAAAAAAAAAAAAAAAAAAAGGAAAGAAGAAAAAAGACCAAAGAACAAAGAAAAACAAAAGAAAGAAGATAAAAAAAAGAGACAAAAAAAAAAGGAAACAAGATAACAGTCGGAAAGAAGAAAAAAAAGAAAGAAAGAAAGACCCCCCCCCCCACACACACAGAAAGAAGAAGCTTTTACTTCATTGCGAAGTAATTAATAATCAGTGGCTTTTAGAGTTTTGCATCGTGTTTCCAAATGGCCGGCGCTGGTCACCTTGGTTGTCCGGGCTGAGCAAGTGCCGGGGAACCACCTGGACAAGCAAGGTGACCAGGGACGCCCTGGTCGCCTTTGGCTGGCCTGGTGGCCTTTTTTTTTTGTTGGTTTAAAGAGACCTTCCCTAGCCCTGGTGCCACCAGGGTTGTTCGGGCGGCCCGGCTGAGCAAGTGCGAGGGAAGGTGTCTCTGTGACCAAACAAAAAAAAAAAAAACAGCGAGGGAAGGTCTCTGTGCCACCAGGGTTGTTGGGAGTTTCTCGACTCTTTGCTCTCCCCAGAAAATTGTTTACTATATTTAGTATGTTTACCCTTGATGGTCTGGTTTCAGTACACATTAAACCAGGAGTCGTCGAGGAGTCGTTCGGAGTCTCATTCCCACTCAGACCTGTGTCCTGAAAGGCAGGCCTTCCACGTTTCAGACCCCAAATTCAGAGGGTCCGAGGGTCCTGAAAGGCCAAGAAGAAAGGCCGAATTAGTCAAATTTAGAAAAGTCGCAGTCGGGTACCTCAGCAGTCCAGGCCAACAGGCACCCAGCAAACAGTCACATCTTAGGGGCAAGCATCACGTTTCATAACGGCAAGTCGTATTGAAGAGTCGCGACCCACGAGAAAAGGGCAGTCCCACAGGCAAGAGTCGTGTCTCAGAGGCAGGAGTCACAGTCCACAGTGAAAACCATGTGTCATAATCGAAAAGTCGAGACTCAAAAAGGCCCAAGCAGCAGCACACAAATGAAAATTCGGATGGTTCCAGGTGCGCTGACATTCCCAAGCAGACAGGCCGTGGGGATGTGGTACCGGAACCAAGTCAGGCCCCAAGAAGCAGAGGCTGGCACGAGTTGAAGTGCAATCCAAGACTACAAAAGGACTGGCCAGCCTCCCATTCCGACAGATTGCTCATTCGGATGAAGTGTGGAAGTGCTGGTGCGCTTGTGCGCTATTGTGAGGGGCAGAGCGGTGAAGCCAGAGTGCTACGCTAAGAGAGAGGGAGAGAGAGGAAGAGATTGCGCCGGCAGGGAGAAGGCAGCCATAGCTGCGCCAGTGCAGAGTGTTAGAAGTAGACTTTAGAGGGTTAGTAGGCATACCAGTGGGTGTATTCAGAGTAGATCCTTGATGTAGAAGTTATCGAGTGTGCATGCATGTAGCCTAGGAGAGAAGACACAGCAAGGACATAGCTAGGTAGAAGACCAGCAAGGAGGAGAGTCACATAAGAGAGAAGAGCAGAGGGGAAAAGGTACTTACCTGAGAGCTTATGCTGATTATTGATTACCTTTGGCATGCGCTGAGGAGCACTGGTGACTTGAACTCTCATTGCTCTTTTAATAACTCGTTGGAATTCATAAGCTGCGCTATCTGGTCTTCATTTCTCTGGCCTCCAGTGTGTAACTTCGTCTGATCTCATACATGCATGTGGTGTGAATATGTGCGCTCACTGGTGTTGACACCAGACAAAATTTACCAGTACGTAGTCCGATTTTGCATCCAGATACACTCTCAGAGGGGGGGCAAAGAAGTCTTCACCCCCTAATGTGACAGGAGCAGGAGATCAATCCTAGCTGATTTTATAGTGACCGGTTAAATGGCAGAAGTGCTGTTTGCAAACGTTGCATGCCCTTTGATGCATGGTGGTTGTTGTTGTTTTTTGGTTCTTGAAAGCGTCTTTTTGGTGGTCAAAGTTTAAATTCAAAACTAAGTTTTTCTTTCCATTTGTCTTTCACAATTTTTTTTTCTGATGGTGCTTTTCCCCTTTCAGGTATGGCAATTTTTGATACCATGAGACATATCAGGCCTGACGTCAGCACAGTCTGTGTCGGTCTGGCTGCGAGGTGAGCAGTGACTCTGCAGTTCTGATTTCCCACCATGGAAGAGAGAGAGAGAGAGAGAGAGAAGGGGGAGGATCAAGTACTCGGTTATGAACTTGGACAATGGGTCCGGAGTCCAGGATAAGCAGATTGACACAAAATTCGGAGGGAGAGAGCAGGGGGAGAGGAGAGACTGGTGCTTAAGACTATTGATGGATTTGTTGCTCTCTGTTCTGTCCACTTTGCAAATGAGGACTGTTGTTCATTCCCTATCAAAATCATCTTTTTCGGTCTACCGCATTCCCGTAAATAGAACAACGCATGTATTTGGGGCAACTTTCCATCTAGTATATACAGCGATAATGACCGTGCGTTCTATTCGGGCCAAGACCATAGCAAGGACAAACTGTGTGACACGGGAATCGACATCTGCGGAGAAAAGGGCTCGACAGTTATTTAATTGCCAATCCCTGCATGGGGCGATGGATATTTTTTTCCCTAAACAGTAATTCAAATTCAAAGGCAATTCTGTGATGGTCCCAACTGTGCACACCCATCCCTTCACGCATTGAATTCATGGTGTGTGTGTGTGTGTGTGTGTGTGTGTGTGTGTGTGTGTGTGTGTGAGAGAGAGAGAGAGAGAGAGAGAGAGAGAGAGAGAGAGAGAGAGAGAGAGAGAGATCACGAACTTGTATTTACTATTGTTTGGCATTGATTTGAACCCTGGTGGTATGCTGTTGGTTGCTTTGTGGCAATGATTTTTCGGTTGATGTCAGTATGGGAGCGTTTCTTCTCAGCGGTGGAACCAAAGGTGCAGCCATGGTTCTAATCTTTCTCTCTCTCTCTCCCTTCCCCCCTTCCCCTCTGACCCTCCCATCTGAGAATGCTGCTTGCTCACTTTTTTGTGGTCTCCCTCTTTCTCACTCTCTCTCTCTCTCTCTCTCACTCACTCTCTCTCCCACCTGTCTTTCCCTCGGATACTTTTGCAGTGTTGTTCCTTTGTTTTCCAAAAGTTTCCTTCTTCTGGTGTCAAAAGGTGCTCGGTACAAAGCACTACATGCGAAGACAACACATCCTCATCATGACCGTATCCGACGTGAAAGATAGCTTGTATACATTCATGATCGGGCGTGGTGTTCGCGGCGAAGACTATGCACCTGGTCATGAATGTATACAGGCTATCTTTGCTGTCCGATACGATCATGAATGTATACAAGCTATCTTTGCTGTCCGATACGGTCATGATTCGGTTATAGATGAGAATTTTTTGGTGACCCTCGTTTGAATGACCAACATCCGGGAATACGAAGTGAAAAACAAAAAAATTGGAACGATACAGAGAAATGAAGATTAGCATGGCCCCTTGCACAAGGATGACATCCATAAATAGATGAATTGTGCAAATTAGAAAAGATAAAGGGGGAAAAAAAAAAAGTTTTACCGGCCTCGATTATTCTTTTGTTGTACAACTGTACAACGACCCAAAAAAAAAAAAAAAAGCCATTCACCGACAGAAAAAAATAAAATGCCTGGCGTAAAAAAAAAAAAAAATAAAAAAATTTTTCAATGATCATGGTTGGACAATGGATAATTCATAATTAATTTATTAGTTTATCAACCGCATGATCCGCATCTAAATTATTAATAATAAATAAGTATGAGCGGAAGGTCATCCACTAAGGACGTTGCTATTGAATCAGTAATACTGTAGTGATGGATTGTTAATAGTCTAGGCATGCCTCGCGCACTTCTTCTTTCTTTCTTTCTTTCTTTCTTTCGTCTTCTTTTCTTTTCTTTTCTTTTCTTTTCTTTTCTTTTTTTTTTTTTTTTTTTTTTTTTTTTTTTTTT